GCTGGCCGACTTCCCTCTGGGAAGGTGTTTTAAAGAAAAGCTCTAAGGACACTGGCCCCTGCGCTCCAAAGTCCTGAAAGAAGGAGCTGCCACTTCCAGTCAGTCTCCTGCAGGGTCCCTGTTGACCATATGCATGCAGGTTTTGCACCTAGCTCTCAAAGGGCTTGAGCTAGCTTTCTTTTTATGACTAACTCAGTAGCTACCATGCCCTAGAGGTAAAGAGCATTTCCAGTCATGGCTCACCTTGTGCCTCCCTTCCCCTAGCCAACACCCAACCCAACCCCAGAGAAAACCAGGATCTGACCTTGACCACACAATTAGAGCACCCAGACTGGCCACACCCCTCACCACATCTTATGGTGGGCTTACTGGCACACAGCCATGCTCATTCACTTGCATACTCTGATGACCACTTCAACTGAGGAGCCGCAAAAGGGGCTGCCACAGAAACCATGTGGCCAAGAAGCTGGAGCATCTGCAGCGTGGCCTTGAGGGACAGGGATGGATGGCTCTGCCCTCCACCCTCCATGGGGCAGGGGCACAGTGTGTGCCCTCCATCCGGTGGAGCCAGCTCCACATGACACTGGAGATGTACCTTCATGGGTTTCTGTGCTTCACTTTCACATAAATGGATTTCAAGAGACAGGAAAGCCCTGATCTGAAACACGAAACCTGAAACATGCAGAAAAGAAAAACTACGAGGCCCGGACAACTGAGGGAGCAACAGCAAAGCTCATCCTACTTCACCCCGGCAGCAAGAACAAGATGTGGTTTTTAAAAAAGCAAGAGCTCTTAAAATAAAATTTTAAAAATATGATGATAGAAATTAAAAATTCAATGGAAGATTTAAAAAATAAAGTTGCCTAAGTCCCCTGCCACAAAAGAAAAGCTGAAGCTGGGCATGGTGGCTGTGGCTGTGATTCTAGCAACTCAGGAGGCTGAGAGAGAAGGCTCACAAGTTCAAGGACAGCCTGAGAAACTTAGACCCTGTCTTTAAATAAATAAAAAAGGCTGGGTGTGTAGCTCAGTGGTAGAGTGCTTGCCTAGTATGTATAAGACCCCGGATTCCATCTGCAACAGTGCCCCCCCACCCTGCGAAAAAAAAAGTTGAGAAAGTCTCTTAGGAAGTACAATAAAAATACAAATGGGGGAGGAGGGGGGGAGCTGGGGTTGTGGCTCAGTGGTAGAGCGCTTGCCTAGCATGTGCAAGACCCTGGGTTCGATCCTCAGCACCACATAAAAATAAATAAACAAAATAAAGATGTTGTGTACAACTAAAAAATAAATATTAAAAAAAATACAAACACAGTGTAGGGGGCTGGGATGTAGTTCAGTTGGTAGAGTGCTTGCCTAGCATGCACAAGGCCCTGGGTTCAATCCCTAGCACCACCAAAACAAAAAACAAAAAAAAACCCGAAGATGGTGCAAAGAAAGAAAGTTTTCAAAAACACACCTCCCTTGCACCTTTATCAGAAAACTAGCAGAGGATCTACTCCAACAAACCAAAAAAGCAGACCAGTAAGGAGGAGATAAAGCCTACTCAGCAGGGCACAGGGGTCCCAGATGGAAGGTTTGCCCAGAGAAAAGCACTCCTTGTGGAGCACGGGTTGGGCTATACATCTGAAATGAGAGCACACATAAAAATATCCTAAACGGCCAAAAAAATAAAACAATTGTTATTTTCAGGAAAATCAAAAGTTGACAAGAAAGGAAATTTAACCCCTAGAACACCACAAGGCTCAGCTGTCAATCTGATGTATAAAGTCTTAGTCATGCATCAGGAGTGAAATGTAGGCAGTGGAGGGAGGCACAGTGAAGCATGCTAGGCACTCAGGAGAAAGCCATCTTCCTTTTCCACACAGGAAGTCAATGTACCTAAGACGGAAGAATTATTAAACAAGAGAAGCAGTTGCTTAGAAGGAACCTAAGAGTTGGAAAGACCAGAAGTAGAAAAGACATTAAGTGCATGGGGCTGGGAGTGTGGCTCAGTGGTAGAGCGCTCGCCTAGCATGGGTGGGACCCAGTTCGATCCTCAGTACCACATAAAAATAAAGGTATTGTGTTGTGTCCATCTACACCTAAAAAATAAATATTAAAAAAAAGACATAAGTGCAGCTTAAGAACTCATACATGTCATTTTGTAAGAATTTAAATTTTTTTAAAAATGACAAATACAAATGTTTGGTGAGACAACAACAATATAGGTAAAGATTAATTGATCTCTAAATGATCAATTACTCACCATGTAGGTATATTTTATCTCAAATAACAGCCCCTATTTTATTTTATTTTATTGGTACCAGGGATTGAACTTGGGTGTGTTTAATTACCGAGCCACATCCCCAGCCCTTTTTATTTTTTATTTTCAGACAGAGTCTCGCTGAGTTGCTTAGGGCCTTGCTAAAGTGCTGAGGCTAGCTTTGAACTTGCAATCCTCCTGCTTCAGCCTCTCAAGCTGCTGGGATTACAGGTGTGTACCGCCATGCCCAGTGCAGCCCCTGTTTTCTACTCCCACTGTCCCAGTGCTGCAGTCCCAGGGAGACAGGCTATGTTGACACCAGCAGAGGTGGGATGGACCATAGCAGGTGGGGACACAGGAGGGATCTGCCCCTGGCCATAGCCTGCCACCCTCTTCCTGGCCAAGGGCATCCCAGTACCGAAGAAAACCAAAAGATCTGGATAAGAAAGAACAGGAAATAACAGAGAAAGCCCCACCCCAGTTTACAGTGAACTATTTTTTACTTAAAGAAAAATAAATCAGCCAGGTGTGATGGCCACACCTGTAATCCCAGTGACTCAGGAAGCTAAGCTGGAGGATCACAGTTCCTAGCCAGACTGGGCAACTTAGAGAGGCCCTAAGCAACTCAGGGAGATCTCGTCTCAAAATAAATAAAAAGGGCTTGGGATGTGGCTCAGTGGTAGAGCACCCCTGGGTTTAATCCCTGGGGATGGGGGGAGAAAGAAATCAGCAAAGAGGGAAGGGTGCCAAGTAGCCAGCTGGTGTACCTCCATACGACTAAGGCTTCTAAGCCTGTCCTGGTGCTTCCAGTGCCCCTGACACATCCAGGAATCCCCATGAAGTCAGCTAGGGTACTACAGAGATGGGCTTGGTCACCTGGATACCACTCTGGCCCAACCCCCACCCACGGTGGGTGGCTCCCTCAAAACTGAGTGCTGGCCTTTCAAAGTCTGGTCCAGGGCTAGGGCTTAGCTCAGTGGCAGAGTGCATGTCTAGCACATGTGAGGCACTGGGTTCCATCCTTAGTACCACTTAAAATAAACAAATAAATAAAGGCATGCTATCTATCTACAATAACAAAGGGTATCCTTTTCCACCCCAGCCTAGGCCAAGAGTGTTGTGAAAACACACCAGTCCTGGGGGACACACCTCCAGACCCCTAAACAGTGCAAAGCATGCCTTAGCCAATCTGGCAGAGAGCAACATGGATACATGGGACACCCCAGCATCTGTTTGGAGCCTGCTGCCTCCTGGACAAAGCTGAGGGTTGAATCAGAGAGTCTAACCCAGGCATCCCACAAGGTTCCCTAGGAAGCCTGTGAACTCCTGTGCAGTCTGCATGAACACACCCTGCCAAGCTTCTGTTTCACTGCTTCAGAGATGTGGCAACACAGTTGAGAGAGCTGAGGTCAAAGTTGCCCAACATGCCCAGGATGCTGCTGCAGTGCAGCTTCAGAGTCAAATGGAAACAAATGTGCTCCAAGCTGCAAATGCCACACCCAAGAACTGCTGCACTGCAGAAGAAAGGAGCAGAGGCTCTACCAGTGGTCAAGCACTTGACTAGCATGGGTTCAATCCCAGCACTGCCAAAGGGATTTAACAAGAAGACAGGAAGGGTATCATACTCTTGCCAACAGGGAGAGACAGAGATGTGGGCTGAGGCTGGTCTGACTAGCTGCCTCTATGCCACATTAGGAACTGCTCATCACAGAAAGTAAAAAGTGAGAGGCTGGCTATTTGCTTAATTGTCAGACTAGGAAATGTCAACTCAGGCTACTCGCTATGCTGCGAGGGCGGGGAAAATGAGCAGCTGCACACATCTGGGAGGACCAAGCTCTGCAACTGTGGGGGACCAGCAATCACCTTTCAGTACTACAAATGTGCTCCCCAAGACCCAGTGAGTTCACCCTAAGAATTTCTCCTATAGCCTGGCCTTCAAATACAATGTGATATACACTGAAGACCAGAACTCTGTTGGCTGCATGAGATGGGACAATGGAAAGGTGCCACATAGGATCTGTATGAAACTGGTGTCAGGTCCCTCCTGGGAAGGATCTAGGGCCTGAGGACAAAAGGAAACATTTTGCTCTACAACTTTTATGTCTTTTGAATATTGTAGCACAAGCATGTGTTAGAGTCTAACACTAGTCTCTTAAAATTAAGACAACTGAGGGCTGGGGATGTGGCTCAAGTGGTAGCACCCTCATCTAGCATCTGTGAGGCACTGGGTTCAATTCTCAGCACCACATAAAAAAAATAAAATAAAGATTAAAAGAAAAAAAAAGACAACTGAAGCCAGGCACAGTGGCTCACACCTATAATCCCAGAGGCTCAGGAGGCTGAGGCAGGAGGATCGCAAGTTCAAAGCCAGCCTCAGCAACTTAGCAAGGCCCTAAGAACTCAGGATGACCCTGTTTCTATAAATAAAATACAAAAAAGTGCTGGAGATGTGGCTCAGTGGTCGAGTGCCCCTGAGTGCAAATCCTGGTATTAGGAAAAAAAAAAGAGGCAATTAAAATCCTTTATCAAATTCCTGGCTATCTTAAACACACTACTGAAGCTGTTCCCATGGAGACCCCACCAGTTCATGTGGTCAGAATGAAGGTCCCTCCCATACTAGACCAGTCCTCTACCTCATGTCATTGTGGAGAACTGGCCTCTAACCACGAGCGACCTGCTTTCCAGGCAGGACAGGAGGAGTGAGTGAGGCCTCGATGATAGACCCAAGGACCCTGGCACCGGCTGTGACATAGACACTCACAGTGATGACATCCAGAATGCTGAGGAGGCTGTGCACGCTGTCTCCTGCCAACACGTCTTTGACTACCACCTCAGTGCCATCCTGTGCAGGAAGAGGAGAGAAAGTCTTGGTTCACAGGGTACCCACTAGGGCATTGAGAGGCCCAGCTAGGACCAGTGAGGCTTGCCTGGCCTCCATCTCCAAGTTGCATCAAAAAGTGGGCACCTTAGGGGCTGGGGTTGTGGCTCAGCAGTAGAGTGCTTGCCTAGCATAGGTGAGGGCCTGGGTTTGATCCTCAGCACCAGATAAAAATAAATAAATTTTAAAAAGCAAAGTGGGCATCTAGATGAAAGGCATAGACTGGCTGGAGTCAGTGGAAGCAGAGGGTTCATAAGGTTGGAACAAGGAAAAAAAGAGGAGGGATGAAATGGATGAAGAAACTCTACTGAACCCAGCCACAGCTCAAGGTCATGACCTATCCTCACTGGGCATATTTGCGTGAAATTTCACAAACCTAAGCTGGTTTTCTGGACTAATTACAAGGGCTATGAGGAATAAATTTAATTACTATCAGTAAAAACTATGGAATTCTAACATAATTTCTACTAGGCAAAATAACAACAACAACAAAAAATGCAACCTAGTGATTAAATATACAAAGCTCATCTCAGCTTGGTCCAGGAAAGTCCCTTCTGAAGTCGTCCACATCTGGCACTGGTCACCCTCATGAGTCCCTCACATCCAGGTCAAGGGCCATAGAGAGGTAGCTCCAGTCCTTCTGGGAGGCCCCTAGCACATCAGACCAGGAGTCTGTTTATCAGCTGGGTGGCCAGGTGCCCTAGGATTTGCTGGCTCTGACCCCTGGAGACTGGAAAAACCCAAGCCCATCCTTTCTATCTAACCTATCAAGCCCAGCCATTGATTAACCTATAAGAATCAACAATCCTGGCCAGAAAGGACAGTGTGGGAACTATCTTGGGACCACTGCCCACTCTCAGAACAAGGGCAGGTGGGAACCAATGGGACTACAGGTTCTGCAAGGTCAGGGGCAGCCATTACATAAGGTCTAGGACTCCCTAAGCATTCTTTACACAGCGGCATATGATGGGGAAGCCTAGGTCAGACAGCACCAGGAAAAAATACTGATACCATACTCTCAGAAAGCAACACAACAAAAAGAGCCAGGGAGAGTGCAACCAGCAATCCTGCCCCAGCAACTGCCCTCTGAAGGACAGACTGGGCACCGGCAAGGCACAAATATTTAGCTCCTAGGTGAAAAACACCTTAAATGGGAAAAGGGATCAAGTGATCATGACATATCAACATAATGATTTATCTATCAAATCATTAATAGAAGTGTTCTGAGGACTTGGAAGAAAAACTTTTAATGTTTAAAGTATACCAATATTTTAACAGAAACAAAACCATTGCTAAGACCAGCTGAGAGACAAGTGCATTATGGGAAAGAACACACAGGGTCCACAGCAGCTGTTTGGTTGTGGGGAGAAAGGTGTGCCTTCTCCCCAAAGAGTTACAGTTTAAATCTTTTTTTTTTTAATTTTTTTGTAGTTGTAGAAGAACAGAATGTCTTTGTTAATTTTTACGTGGTGCTGAGGATCAAACCCAGCACCTCATGCATGCTAGGCAAGTGCTTTGCCACTGAGCTACAGCCCCAGCCCTACAGTTTAAATCTTATACTAACTTTCTGATGTGGAGCTGACAAACAGCTGGGTGGAGGCACAGTAGTCCCAGCCCTGTCCTGCAGGCCCCTGGCCCTGGACTCACAGCGTCCTGGATGCAGACTTCCAACCGCCCATCCTGCACCACGTAGATGCTGGTGTCTGGCTCTCCTGGCCGAAAGATGTGCTCCCCCTCATGCAGCTGCACAAAGACCATGTGTTTGCACAGCTCCAGGAACAGTGGCTTCTCAAAGTGGCCTAGGACCCTGTAATGAGCAGAATGCACTGTGGACACCCACCCAGGGAAGGCGGGGTGAGGGATGTGCTTTGAAAGAGGCTCAAGAGGACACAGGCCATTGTCCCCACTTGCATGAGAGCTAGGGTTGCAGATCTATTGCTGACCCAGATCAACCTGCCCATGTTGTATGGCAGACCCAGGTCATCTGGCATCACTGTCAAACAGAATTTTAAACTTCTGAGACTCCCATCAGCTCAAAGAACTTCTGGGGCTATGACCATGAATATGAGACAGACACAAAAACAACCAAAGGCCAAGGTGCCCTCTTGGGATGGGGTGCTGGTACCAGAAAGAGGAAAGGTGCTCAGGGTCAGATGCTCAGATGTGCAGCTTTTGATCCCTCCACACGCTTCTTGTGCTTACTCTGGGTTTACCACTGAAAATGGAGACACTAAGAACAGGTGAGGAGGCGAGGGGACCATGAGGCCTTGCTACTGGAGCAGGCTGACCCAACAACCGACCACTCCAGGGCACAGAGACCAGCAGTCCCAGAAGGAAGTCTGGCTTGCCAATACCTTCTGACACAACAAAGCCAAGACAGAGATGGCTGCAGGGAGAAGCATGTTGAGGGAATGCCCATGCTATGGCAAGTCCTCCTGCGCCCATCACTCTCTTACCGAACATTTTTCAGCATGTACAGAACTTCTGATGGCAGATGAGAATTTTTCACATCAAACTCTGTGAGATCAGCCTCCAACAGCGAAGGTGGGGGCTCCTTCGGCTGCAGGGTGGGGTATTCCTTCTTGAAACGTAGAATTCTAAGAAGCAGAGACACATTTACCTTGAGCAAGAACAGAAGAATTAAAAACCAATGCCCTCAGTGCTCCTCTGATGTGGAAGGAGCACAGCACTAGTGAGGATTCCAACAGACTTGCAGTACCCATTAGGAGGAAGTTCCCAGTACCTCTTGGCCAAAGATAGCACCTTAGTTCTCTTCCTGGCCCGCTGCCGGGGTGCTGCTGTGTTCCCCACAAGTGTGTGGGGGAGTGTGGTAACCTGTAGGACAAACAGATGTGTTACACACCCTGTGAACAGGCAGACCTGAGCACTCAGGGGCCAGATCTCAGGAATTGCCTGTGGGTGGCCCACCATACTGCTCTCAGCTTCCAGGGCCATCTGCAACAATCCCCCCCCAACCTCTTGGCTCCTTGAGGGAAGGGAATGCCAGACTCAGGGGACACACACAGCCCCACATATCCACAGGATGCCCTTGATGTCCTCAAGCAGCCAAACTGTCAGAACTCCGTGGCTCCACACCTGCTGGCTTCTGCAGAACTGCGGCAGGGTGTGAGATGTGGCAGGTTTGTACAGGCAAACAAGGGTTCAACCTAGACTGCTTATCTCCAGGTTGGAGCTCCTTAACTACTAACTCCTATACCCCAACACAGGAGGAACACCCTGGGCGTGGCCCTGAGAGGGTTTATGGTGAAAATGCCTGAGCTAAAATAAAAGTGCAGCACTGGCCAGGTGCTGGAAATACAGGTGCTAGAAGATAAACTATGTTCTTGCCTGTCCTGTCCCCCAGACACCCCTCAGTACTTATAAGGTTCCAGAACCACAAGAGACACTTTTCAGTGTTTTTCCATAGGCCATCAGGAAACTTGGCTCCCCAGCCCCAGAGGATTGGACCTTTGCTCAGCTTAACCTCCTGAGTCCTTGTAGAGACCACCCATCTGAGGGTAGGTGCATGGCCCTCTATGCCCCCTGACTTGCCCCTAGAAATATTCCTGGAAAGCAGCTGTCTCTCCTCACTTCGCGCTGACAGAAACTTGCACTTCAGATGGCCAAGGGCAAAGAGCCTCCTGTCCTTGCACTGGTCAAAGCAAGCTAACTGCTTCAAATCAGACACCCACCCTACTCCAGCCCTCCAGACCAGGTGGTTTGAGGTCAACAAGGCCAGGGATATTTCCAATAAAATGTATTTGGTTTAGTTGGGGAAAGCAGAAAACATTTAGCATGACTTATGACACCCCCCAAAATCCTGTGCCCAGCAGCAAGGGTCATGGACCCCTCAGCAATGTACTCCCAGAGTGCAGGAACCAGAAGCTTAAGGAACCTGGGGAGTAGTGGTCTCCACTCCCCAGGGTGCTGTTCAGGAAAGAGCCAAGGTACCACCCAGGGCTATGAGCAAATTACCTTCCTCATGATCTTCCGACCATAAAACATCACTTTGTCCCGCTTTCGGAACCTGTACTGAGGAGTGGGGTGCACTTGTCCTGCAAGGGGAGGGAAGGGACACTGTGAAGTGGGAAAGCCCCCATCCTGGGCATGGCCCTGAGAGGGTTTATGGTGAAATTGCCTGAGCTAAAATAAAAGTGCAGCACTGGCCAGGGGCTGGAAATACAGGTGCTAGAAGATAAACTGTGTTCCTGCCTGTCCTGTCCCCCAGCCACCCCTCAGACATCAGTGCCTGTCTCAGATCACAGAGGAATCTCATTTCTTCTCACTAGATCCTTGCTTGGGAAAGGGAGGCAGAAAAGGCTCTGCAAAGACTGGAAACCACAGCCTGAACCTGGATTCCAACAAAACCACACCCCTAGAGTCCAAATGCCCATAGGACATGGACACACACCCACACACATATGAGCCCTGTCCCTCCCCCTAGAGCCACAGTACAAACCAAGATACTTACGGAATCGGTTAACCCTTCTGTATACAAAAAAGACAGCAATACTGACAAAGGCTAGGGCCAGGAGGGCTCCAATTGCAATCCCGATCAGCTGGGTGGGCAGGACAAAGTGCACCCATCAGCAAGGCAGACCACAGCCACCAGTTGGCCCAACCAGGCCCATCCCCAGGAAAGCCTGTGATTACCATGGTGGACTGTGAATGCTCCTCCATGAACTGCAGCCCCCAGGAACGCAGGGCAGTTCCTATACAGAAGCCAGCCTGGAGAGGAAAGCAGCACTCAGGTTGAACAGACAAATGGCCTGGATTCCCAGCCTGGGCCTGGTCAGGGAGCAAGAGTAGAGTTGGAAGGTAGGGAGGAAGTTAGCACCTCTGGAGATTCCAGAGAGAAGTGACCTTGCCAGAGCTGCTGAGGTCCTCTGGGCCTGCCTCCAATGGCAGATAGGGAGCAACCTGTCCTCCTCAGACACTGGGTTGCTGACAGCAAATGCCCTGTACATCACTAACACACCTGAATCCTGGGCTCTCATCCTTGAGATGTAAGCACAGGAGAGCAAGCCCCAGCCACAGGGGAGGCCAAGATCATCTCTTGGTGCCCTATGGGAGCCAAATAACTGCTGTGCACAGAAACCCTGAGAAGGTGGGTGGTTGCTGAGGCCTGTATTCGGTTTAGTTCCAGCTGCTCAGAAGGCCAAAGAAGGAAGATCACTTGAGCCCAGGAGTTCAAGATCACCCTGGGAAGCATAAAAAGACGAAGGAAGGAAGGAAGGAAGGAAGGGAGGAAGGAAGGAAGGAAGGAAGGGAGGGAGGGAGGGAGGGAAGGAAGGAAAGAGAGAGAGAGAGAGAGAAAGAAACAAACAAACTAACTAAACTAAACTCTGAGGAGCCCTCTGGATTTGGGGGACATCCAATATCAGTTCACATGCCAAAGAGGAAAGAGCAGAGACATCTCCCTGCTGTGTCTGAGAAGGGCACTGACCAGAACTTCAGAAATTCAGACAAGGTGAGTGAGCAACTAACAGAGAAGGCTGACTGGCTCCCAAAGCCTAAGATGGGCCAGACATGCAGCCACTCTCCATTCTCCTGCACCCACCCTGCTCCCAAGCAGCCAGGAGCTAGATGGGGAAGGGCAGGCCACCTACTAATCCTTTCCAGTTTCTACCCAAGTGCCATGGACCAAAGCCCCAACCTTCAGAGAAACAGGTCTCAGATACAACAGCCATGCCAGAAAAGCCAAGGAGGGCAGGAAGGCACCAGGCAAAGCGTCTCTAAGGCAAAATTCTGCATCAAGACCAGAGTGAGAGATGCAGAAAGCTCATCCCTGTGCACTTGGTGCAGGAGGCAGGTTCAGTCATCAGTCTGAGTGAGGACACCCTCTGAGAAATTCACTGGCAGGTGTTCTCATCATTATGTGAATGTCACAGGGTGTGCTCATACAAACTAAGAGAGCACTGAACTCACCAGGCAAAACAATTCTATTGCATACTGTTGTACGCATGGCCTTCTGTTGGCTGAAACACCCTTGTGCTGCATGTGACTATGCGCACAGTGCACCTCTTGCTTTAGGATTGAGGTACCCAGCGTCTCTCCTTCTTTGTCCCCACTCAGCTCTCAGGAGCTTATTGGTTGGGGAGCATAAGGGCACCCCACCACTCCCTCCACTGATCTAAGTGTGCCCCTCTGAAGTCTGGTGCAGTCAGATTATCCAAGCAAAGGTCTAACCTACTTATATTGCCTGCAATGATGGAGTGTCTCTAGCTTTCTGCTGTTTAATGCATTTACTTTTCTGGCTCAGGAACAAAAAAGCCTTTGGGATATGGCTGTAGTGCTGGACTGAAAAAAGACCCTAAGCAAAGCAAGCAGGCAAAGTCTCAAGCGAAACAGGACCTGAAGGGATGAAAAGATGGTCTCAAATGTCATCCAACAGCCACATGCAACTGTCCATACTGTGAAAGCCTGGCTATCTAGCAACCAGTGTGAGCTCTGGCAAGGCAACTGACCCCAGTCAGTCCTCAGGCTTCAGGAAGTCCAGGCAGAGGAGGGAGGCAGAGAACCCTTCTCTAGATGGAGAAGTTCCTGAGTGGGGGTTCTAAGGAAAGGACTCTCACCAGATACCTGGTATACCCACCTCTGAGCAGACATCGTCCTCTTCCCGCATGACTGTAAGCAGAGCAAAGGGTGAGGAGACAGGTTGAGGAAACACTTTACTAGCGCCTTCCCCACTACTTTCAGAATCAAATTACATTCTCACTGGAAGGAAACACCTCTGCACCTTTGTTCTCCTGAAAAGAAGCTGTTTTTCAGAAGCATCTGCTGTCTCACTGCGGCTTCCTTCTCCTGTAAACAGCCCTCACGTGGCCCAAGGGGAACTCACAACAGCAGCCAAGCCACTGGCTCTACTCCCAGAGCTCAGCGGAAGAGTCTGGACAGCACAGCCAGGGTCTGGAGAGGCCGTGTGGGGTAGGCTCAACACTGGCTGGGGACAGGGGTATTATGGGGTGGCTGTTCAAGGAGGGGTGAATGTGTCGGGCACAGGGTATGGCTGGAGGAACTAGGATGATCCAGCGGGGGAGGGGCGCGGCCGGGAGGGCACCAGACGGGTAAAGCAACTGCTGGGAAGGGGTGTGGCCGGAAAGGACAGCGGTGGGGAGGGTCATAGCCTGGGGATGCAACCGCCGGAAAAGGCAGTTGTCCTGGAGGGGGCGTGACCCGGAAGGGCAGTGTCCGTGAAGGGGTCATCCGGCGCGGGGGATGCATCAAGAGGAGCAAATGACCAGGACACCACGGGGCCATCAGAGTAGGGGGGAGGCGACGGGGAAGCGGAGCTGGAGTAACAGGGTGGGTTTTCCGGGCCCCGAAGTGATGAACCTGGGGACCAAGAGGGCCTGACTCCCTCGGTCAGAGGGGAGAGGCGCAGGCGGCCCGTCACTGGACCGCCCTTCTGCTACAGGTCCGAGCCGCGGCCGCCGAGGGACGGAAGGGCCCGCTTTCCCCGACCCTCCGACGATTCCCGAGGAACAGCCCCTCCTTAACAGTAGTGTACATGTGCCCAGGACACCTCGGGCCCGTTCAGGACAACGTAGAGTCCTCAGGGACTACCCCGGGGTCCCGAGGAAAACGAAGGGTCATCAGGGGCCACCTCGGAGCCGCGCCGGTGGTTGTAGGCGCCGGACCCGGCGCCACAGGCGGCCCGCTGCGAACTGCCTGCGCGCGCCCTACCCACCACAGAGGTGGGCCTGGACCCCCACTTCCGGGCGCGCCTGTTGACTCCCCGGGTCCCAAGCTCCCGCAGCCCCGCCTCTGGTCTCTCCACCCATTGGCCAAGTCTCTTAGGCTACGCCCCCTCGGGAAACTACGGCTGCGCGTCGGATACGGCAGCGGCCAATCGGAGCTGCTCTCGTTGCAGGGCGCTTGGTCGGCCGTCGGTCGGAAGTACGGCGAGATCGCAGTCGGGTTGTGCAGCTCTGGTCCCCCAGCACTTGTTTTGGCTCAGGCCGGGGGCTAGTTGCCCGAACTGTCGCAGGCAGAGTGGGAGCGCGAGGCCGAGCTCAAGAGCCGCCAGCTCAGGTCGGTCCGTCCGTTTCCAGGGGGTGCTGCGTCCTTTCCGCCCGCGGGGTCTGGTTCCGGTTCCTCTCCAGTCCCCGAGTATGGGGTCCGGGCCCTCTACGCCCGCGGGGACAGGGATCTTATGGGGTGGCTGTTCAAGGAGGATCCGACCTGGATCCTCTACCCCTCGGGGTTGAGTCCAGGTTTTCCACCACGGGGTCCGGGGTCTTCTCAGCCATCCTCGGTGCTGACCTTTCAAAGCTGTTTCCTGCAGGGAACGTCATGGGTTTCCTGACCGCAGTGACTCAAGGCTTGGTGCGGGGAGCAGACAGGATGAGCAAGTGGACCAGTAAACGAGGGCCGCGCACCTTTAACAAGGGACGGGGCGCCAAGGGCACAGGCATCCGTGCCTCAGGCTGGAAGTTTGTGCAGATAAAGGAAAAGGTCCCAGAATTTGTTGTCCCAGACTTGACTGGCTTCAAGCTCAAGCCCTATGTGAACTACCGAGCTCCTGCAGGCACAGACACACCACTCACTGCCAAAGCACTCTTCCTGGAAACAGTTGCACCTGCTATCCAAAAGGACTTTAAAGAAGGCACTTTCAGTCCTGACAACCTGGAAAAGTACGGCTTTGAGCCCACACAGGAGGGCAAGCTCTTCCAGCTGTATCCCAAGAACTTCCCACGTTAGAAACTTGGAACTAGAGGCTGCTCTGACCCAGCCTGGGATCTTGAGTTCCTGGAGGAGTAGGGGGCAGTTTCTCCATCCCGTTTCTATTAAAAGCTTGCTACTTGGGCTGGGGCTGTAGCTCAGTGGTAGAGCACTTGCCTAGCATGTGTGAGGCACTGGGTTTGGTCCTAGCACCATGTCAAAAAAAAAAAAAAAAAAAAAAAAAAAAAAGCATTGTGTCTATCTACAACTTTAAAAAAAGAAAGAAAAGTGTTACCCTGTGCAGTGTGTGATTGGCATCAGGTGGTGGAATGTATGCTACATAACAGAGTCCATGCAACTTTAGAAGTCAGGTTTGCGCATATCACTCAGCCCATACCAGTAAAAATTTATAAGGCTGCATGAACCAGATAAAGCTGATGAATTCACCCCCAAAACTAAACCTATCATGTTCCTTTTGGGATCCCAAGCAATTGGTCAGGTGAAAATAACTGCCTCCTTGGGGAAACCTAAAGATGAAGCCACATGCAAATTGGTGTCAAACTGGGCTCTGTTGACTAGTCTGCTGAGTTAGGCCTTCAGATCTGTTTCATTTAAGATTTAGCTGACCCATACATGTTCTAAAACTCGGTGGCGCGTGGGGGTGGGGGTGGGGGTGGGGGTGGCATGGGGATCGAACTCAGGGGAACTCAACCACCGAGCCACATCCACAGCCCTATGTTGTATTTTGTTTAGAGACAGGGTCTCAGTTTTTTTAGTGCCTCGCTTTTGCTGAGGTCAGCTTTGAATTTGCAATCCTCTAGCCTCAATCTTCCAAGATGTTGGGATTACAGGCGTTCGCCACTGCACCAGGCACATGAAATCTCTTTACACAAACTCTAAATTGGCAGCAACTGGGTGTGGCTCACACCTGTAATCCCAGTGACTTGGGAGGCTTGAGGCAGGAGAATCCTAAATTCAAGGCCCACCTTAGCAATTTAATGAGACTGTAAGCAACTAATACCCTGTCTCAAAATGAAAAATAAAATGCGCTAGAGATGTAACTCAATGGCAAAGTGCCCTTGGGTTCAGTCTGTGGTACCCCAAAAAAAAAAAAAAAAAAAAAAAAACACAATAAATGGGCCACCAACAGGGATTGTTCCTTTTAAGGTAGAAAAATGTGTCATGACCACTTTGGTTTTTGCTGGCATATGGGGGTGTGCCACCAAAACATAAGGCCAGCTGGGCACAGTGGTACATGCTTGTAATCCCAGCAGCTTGGGAGGCTGAGGCTGGAGGACAGTGAGTTCAAAACTAATCTCAGCAAAAGTGAGGTGCTGGGGCTAGAGTTGTGGCTCAGTGGTAGAATGCTCGCCTAGCTCAGATGAGGCACTGGTTTTGATCTTCAGCACCACATAAAAATAAAGGGGTTGTGTCTACCTACAACTAAATATTAAAGGTGGGCGTGGTGGCATATGCCTGTAATCCCAGTGGCTTGGGAGGCTGAGACAGGAGGATAGCAAGTTCAAAGCCAGCCTCAGCAACTGCAAGGTCCTATGCAACTCGGTGAGACTCTTGTCTCTAAATAAAATTCAAAATAGGGCTTGGGGAGTGGCTCAGTGCCCTTGAGTTCAATCCCTGGTACCCACCCCCCCAAAAAAAGTAAGAGATGACTGTTTAAGACATGGAAGCTGATCTGTTTATTGCCACTAAGAGGAAATGATTAGTGACACCCTATTGTCACTTTTTTTAAAAAAATTTCTTTAGTTGTAGTTGGACACAATATCTTTATTTTATTTACTTATATGTGGTGCTGAGGATTGAACCCAGGGCCTCACATGTGGCGAGCACTCTACCACTGAGCCACAACCTCAGCCCCCATTGTCACTTTATGACCAAGGTGGCTCAGAATGTACACACATCTTCTCCCCTCTTCACCTTTCATTCTACCATGTGATTGGAGGATTGTCCCCTCTCTGTGGTGCCAGGGATTGAGCCCAAGGGTACTCTACCACTAAGCCATTCCCCCAACTTTCTTTTTTCCCCTTTTTATATGAGGTCTCACGAAATTACTCAGGCTGGCTTTCAATTTGTGATCCTGAGTCATTGGGATTATAAGCATGTGCCTAGCCTTCTCATGTTCTAAAATTAATTCCAGGCCAGGAATATAACTTAGTGCTAGAGTACTGACCTATTTTTTTTTTTTTTTTTTTTTGATAACTGAGGATTGAACCTGAGGTGCTTAACCACTGAGCCATATCCTCAGCCCTTCTTACCATTTTATTTAGAGACAGGGTCTCACTGAGTTGCTAAGTGCCTCGCTAAGTTGCTGAGGCTGACTTTGAACTCCCAATCCTCCTTCCTCAGCCTCCCAAACTACTGGGATTACAGGCATGCACCACCACACCTGGAATATAATTACTTTTTTAAAAAAAAACTATTTTTTAGTTGTAGTTGGACACAATACCTTTATTTTTTATTTGTTTTTTATGTGATGCTGAGGATCAAACCCAGAGCCTCGCACGTGCTAGGCAAATGCTCTGCTGCTGAGCCACAACCCCAGCCCATATAATTACTTTTGATGTGATAAAGTAATTTTTCCCCCAAAACAACTTCATTTAATCAATACAAATGCTTAAACACATATGAAGGGCTGAGATCAAACTACCAGAGAAACTGAGTTTTGGAGATGGAAAACCCCAATCACTGCCAGACATATCATGCAGTGGCCCAGCAGGAAGGACTGTAACTCCTGAAGTCACTCCTGGTGTAGCTGGGAAGGGTCTTAGCGACCTCATGCTCAGCTGGCCTCCCACTTCCAGAGGTGAAGAACATGGTCATAAAAGGAGCAGGTGGCCAGGAGGCTGGAATCCAAGTTCATCCCTTCTGGGTAGGAGCTGTAGTCATAGTTCTGGCTGCCACTCTTCCTGTCCAGTAGAGAAGCCTTTAGCTGGGACCTGGCATGGCCCTCCCCGTCGTCTACCATAGCTTGAAGGGAGGTTGCTGGTGATGTATTTACAAGCTTTAGGCCGTAGGCCCAGTCTGCCAGTCTAGCTCCCACTTCGCTGAGAGGAAAGGAGGAGGAGGGAATAGGCTGCAGGGAACGGGCGAGGAGCCAGGACCAGTCGGCCCCATATACCAGTGAGTTGGGCAGCGTGTGGGATGCCATGACCACCACTTCCTGCTTCTCTGGAGCAAGACAGAACAGGAACCACAGTGTTACTTGGAGCTGATCATCCCTACTGACAGCCCCATCTACCTCAAAGGGAAGTTTCAGAGCAGTCAGCGTGTCTGTAGAGAAACCATCAGGATGAACCTCAGAGAGGAACAGCCAGGGCTACAGAACCACATGCACAGGCGCCTTCTCCTAGCTGGAGAGTCCAACAAAAGCTGCTCAGGGGGTTGCCCCACTGAAGGCTTAAAGCAGGTGGGTGTGGTGGTGCACACCCGGGGGGCTGAGGCAGGATCACAAGTGCGAGGCTAGCCTAAGCAACTAGCAAAACCCTCAAAACTGAAAAAGGGGAGGGAGCCAAGTGCAGTGGCATATGCCTGTAATCCTAGCAAGGCAGGAGGATTCCAAGTTTGAAGACAGCCTGGGCAACTTAGCCAACACCCTGTCTGAAAATAAAAAGAATTGGGGGTGTAGCTCAGTGGTAACACCCCTGGGTTGGATCCCCAACACGGGGTGGGGGTGGGGGGGGTAATGAAAAGCAAAGGTTAAAGGAAAAATGAGTCAACCAGATGGGAGGAGATGAGGCAAAGGGGACTGTGTGCTGGGTACAGAGGCCAGAAAGGCCACGGCATGTGCAAGGAACTGCAAGTGAAGGGCCCTGGCTGCACTATGCTGGTGGTAATTTGTGGCCAAAGGCACAAGCAGACTGTGCATTCCCTAGCAAGGTCCATATGAAGTTTATTTATGGTTTCCTTCCAAGCTGATCCTAGGGCAGCTTGGAGGGTTGGGCAGGGCTGGAAAGAGGCCAACAGTGTTCCCACAGTGCACAGCCATGGTGGCATGGAAGAGGCATTACCTCTAGAGAAAGGAAGGAAGTGTGGCCAAACGGGAACAGGTCCACAGCCCAGGAGAAGACCACACCAATAAGAGCAGCTGCAAGAACCTGAAGAAGGGAGCTAAGGTGCCCACTGGGAAAACTGCCAGCCATCACTCAGACTTCTAGTCAGCTTAGATGTTAAATCACAACTCAGAAAGTGCCATTGCCACTACCTTTGATGTACAGGGAGTTATAGTGCACAATGATGTGCGCCAGAAGCATAATGAACACTGAAGGAAGGCCAGGACGACACTACAGCCCAGGGACTTCACAGGGCAGAGGTGGCTCCAGAGAGCAAACACAGTGGCAGGGCCCTTGGGCAATGATATGGGCTGACCCTGGGGAGGACACTCCCAGGAGGCTGTCCCAGAGACCTCCCCTGGGCAGTAAGGACCCCCACCCCAGCAGTCCTCATCCAGCAAACATAGCACCAGTTCCTGGCAAAATCACCTTCTACAGATTCAGAATAAGCTGTGCCTTCAGAGAGCTAGTAAAGGAATGGACAGAGACACCCTTTAGGGGCAAGTGCCACCAAGAACAGTGCAGGGGAGGGACCAGTGTGGTGAGAGTGCTCTGCAATCTAAATTCACTAAGCATTCATGTCCAGAAAAGGGGGCTCCAACAGGCAGGAAGTAATGAAACAGTTAACATTCAAAACTGTGAACCACAAACACCTCCCAGAATAGCCAACAATGTAATGACAAAATCAACCTGGAATACTGAAGTCTGAGACAGACCCCTAGTGAAATCATTCAGCTTGAAAGATTAAGAAAAAAAACTCAACACAGTGGCAAGGTAGAAACCACCCACATGTCTGTCAGCAGACAAATGTGTGAACAGCCTTTAGGAAGTTCTGGCTCCTGATGCAAAGGATGAATCCAGAAAAGTTCAGAAGCCAAGTGAAAGAGTTTATGAAAGGCCTGATCCTTCTGACCCCACTGTGTCAAGTACCTACAGCAGGCAATCAGACAAGCAGAGAGCAGCTGGTGGGAGTCACAAGATGAGCAGTGGCCATGGCTATGCAACGTGCATTTAAAATGGCTAGGCTGCAGTGGGGGTTCAGCAGGAAAGCGCTGGCCCAGTACGCACAGGAGGCTCTAGGTCCCATCCCCAGGACTGTTAGGAAGAAAAAAAAAA